CCAAGTGGTGGCACTGGTCACCGTATCCACTGTTAGCGTAACACACCCGCTTTAAGGACACTGACTGCTATTCAATCTATAACAGTGAAAAAAGTGTTTTTTGTTTTTAAATACAAGCTTTGTGTCACCAGATCTAAGTGGTGGCATTGGTCACCATATCCACTGTTAGCGTAACACACCCGCTTTAAGGACACTGACTGCTATTCAATCTATAACAATGAAAAAAGTGTTTTTTGTTTTTAAATCCAAGCTTTGTGTCACCAGATCTAATTGGTGGCACTGGTCACCGTATCCACTGATAGCGTAACACACCGGCTTTAGGACACTGACTGCTATTCAATCTATAACAGAAAAAGTGTTTTGTTTTAAATCCAAGCTTTGTGTCGCAGATCTAAGTGGTGGCACTGGTCACCGTATCCACTGTTAAGCATTAACAAACCTGCTTGAAGATAACTAATAACTGCTATTCAATCTATAACAGTGAAAAAGTTTTGTTTTAAATCCAAGCTTTGTGTCACCAGATGAGAAGTGGTGGCACTGGTCACGTATCCACTGTTAAACACACCAGCTTTAAAGGACACTGACTGCTATTCAATCTATAACAGTGAAAAAGTTTTTTGTTTTTAAATCCAAGCTTTGTGTCACCAGATATAAGTGGTGGCACTGGTCACCGTATCCACTGATAGGCGTAACACACCAGCTTTTAGGACACTGACTGCTATTCAATCTATAACAGAGAAAAAAGTTTTTTGTTTTTAAATCCAAGCTTTGTGTCACCAGATCTAAGTGGTGGCATTGGTCACCGTATCCACTGTTAGTGTAACACACCCGCTTTAAGGACACTGACTGCTATTCAATCTATAACAGTGAAAAAAGTGTGTGTTTTTTTAAATCCAAGCTATTGTGACACCAGATCTAAGTGGTGGCACTGGTCACCGTATCCACTGTTAGCGTAACACGCACTTTAAACTGGGACACTGACTGCTATTCAATCTATAACAGTGAAAAAAGTTTTTTGTTTTAAATCCAAGCTTTTGTGTCACCAGATCTAAGTGGTGGCATTGGTCACGTATCCACTGTTAGCGTAACACACGCACGCTTTAAGGACACTGACTGCTATTCAATCTATAACAGTGAAAAAGAAGTGTTTTTGTTTTTTAAATACAAGCTTTGTGTCACCAGATCTAGTGGTGGCACTGGTCACCACGTATCCACTGTTAAGCGTAACTTTTAACTTTAAGGACACTCCTGCTATTCAATCTATAACATTGAAAAAAGTGTTTTTGTTTTTTTTTTTAAATACAAGCTTTGTGTCACCAGATCTAAGTGGTGGCACTGGTCACCGTATCCACTGTTAGCGTAACACACCCGCTTTAAGGACACTGACTGCTATTCAATCTATAACAGTGAAAAAAGTGGTTTTGTTTTTTTAAATCCAAGCTTTGTGTCACCAGATCTAAGTGGTGGCAATGGTCACCGTATCCACTGTTAGCGTAACACACCCGCTTTAAGGACACTGACTGCTATTCAATCTATAACAGTGAAAAAAGTGTTTTGTTTTTTTTAAATACAACTTTTGTGTCACCAGATCTAAGTGGTGGCAATGGTCACCGTATCCACTGTTAGCGTAACACACCCGCTTTAAGGACACTGACTGCTATTCAATCTATAACAGTGAAAACAGTGTTTTTGTTTTTTTTAAATCCAAGCTTTTGTGTCACCAGATTCAAGTGGTGGCACTGACTGGGAAATGGCACAGTATGCACTGTGAGCCTGACACAGAAGCTTTCGCAGGCAGCGGCAGACAACTGACTGCTATTCAATCTATAACAGTGAAAAGTGTTGTTTTTTAAATCCAAGCCAGTCACCAGAGATCTAAGTGGTGGCAATGGCACAGTATGCACTGTGAGCCTGATTACAGAAGCTGGCAGCAGTGGCAGACAACCGACTGCTATTCAATCTATAACAGTGAAAAAAGTTTTTTGTTTTTAAATCCAAGCTATTGTGACACCAGATGTAATTGGTGGCACTGACTGGTGAAATGGGCACTGTGAGCCTGACACAGAAGCTGGCAGCAGTGGCAGACAACTAAGTGCATTTACATTAGATAGAAAAAAAAAATCCAAAAAAAGCATACCCTTATCCCTAACCTAGCTATGCTTTTCCCTATCTATGAACAGCAGCTACACTTTCCCTCCTCTTACTAAGCATGCAGCTTGAGAATGAATCTAAAATGGATGCTGTCCAGTAGGTGGGAGGGTCTGCTAGGGAGGCTGTGCTGCTAATTGGCTGGAATGTCTCTGCTGACTGTGAGGTACAGGGTCAAAGTTTACTCAATGATGACGAATAGGGGGCGGGTCGAACCGCGCATATGTTCGCCCGCCGTGGCGAACGCGAACATGCTATGTTCGCCAGGAACCGTTCGCCTGCGAACCGTTCGGTACATCACTAGACAAAACCTTACTGGCCTTAGCAACTGCAGATTGACATTGCATATTGCTACCTAATTTGTTGTCTATAACAATTCCCAAATCCTTCTCGTGTGTGGTTATCCCTAGTTCACTACCATTTAGTGTGTAAGTTGCTTGTGCATTCTTAACCCCAAAGTGCATAACTTTGCATTTCTCTATGTTAAATTTCATCTGCCATTTGAGTGCCCTATCCCCCAATCTATCCAAATCCCTCTGCAGCAAAGCAACATCCTGCTCACATTTTATTACTTTACAAAGATTTGTGTCATCTGCAAACACTAAAGCATGGCTTTCAATGCCCATTTCAAGATCATTTATAAATATGTTAAATAGAAGCGGCCCCAAAACAGAACCCTGAGGGACACCACTTACCACTTTTGTCCAGCCTGAAAATTTACCATTAATGACAACTCGTTCTATTCTATCCTTAAGCCAATGTTCTACCCAAGAACAAGAATATTCATCTAGACCAATTTCTTTTAGTTTGAAGACTAGCCTATTGTGAGGAACCGTATGAAATGCCTTGGCAAAATCCAAGTAGATCACATACACTGCAACACCCTGATCTATACTTCTACTTACTTCTTCGTAAAATGCAATTAGGTTAGTTTGAAATGACCTATGTTTCAGGCAGAAATTGCAGCAAAAGGGGCCCAAACCAAGTACCGAGTCCATATGCATGCTTATACTTTTCAGAGGTCCGATATTGTTCTTTGTACACTCCTTGTTTTATTGATTGCATGTAATATTCTAATTTACTGAGATTGTGGATTTGGGGTTTTCATGAGCTGTAAGCCATAATCATCGCACTTCTGACAAATCACGGCTTGAACTATCTTGCTTTGCATGTAATGCGTCTATCTCATATATTAGTTTCCCCTTTTACGTTGCATTACTGAAATAAATTAACTTTTGCACCATATTCTAATTTTTCGAGTATCACCTGTACTATTGGGCTCTGATTTTATCAAGTTTTGTGAGTCTCGTTCAATAGATATTCAAGCATTTTCCTCTAAACAGTAAATTGTTGTGAACTGATGACATTTTGACCAACTAACTCAGCTGCATAATACTTTCACCATCAATTCTTTTTCCGACTCAGCTGAGCATTAAAATTCAGTTGCTGTTTAGTGAATAAATCCCTTGGTGTTTCTTCCATCCTCTGTGATGTTTGAATGAACGATAGAAATGCCGAAATGTATTTAAAATTTTAAATGCATTCTTCTTACACGTACAAACATCAGTAAGAATTCATATGTTTTATTTAAGGTTGTACGGCAACTGCTGTCTTTCTCTTTAACCCTTCCTGCTTATGTTCTTCGACTCACCACATGAATTTCCTCTTCTTGTTCGCTGTTTGGAGCCGTTTCAGATGCTTTTCTTTCATATTCTTTTGGATAAGGCCCAGGGAACATTTTCTTCCTGACAAACCTCCATGTTAAATTAATTCCTCTTTCTGAACTGCTAGAGTATTCAGAGCACATTATGTACCTATTGTCAGAGACTCTAAAGAGTTGTAGGTAGGATCATCTCATGGAAAAGGAACCATCATTTTGGTTGTCCATAAAAGCCTGAACAATCTCCTTTTATATGACTATATTCTCACACATATAAGATCTGATTATTAATGACTTCTTTGAGTCCAGAAACACAGGGTATCAATCGCATCCTGTGCTAGAGATTCCCAAAGAAAAAGGTAATATCTAATATCCAGGCACACAGTGATACATGCCAGGCTAAAGAAAAAAATGGCTGTGTACAGGAATGACAATAAAGTGCTATTTGCAATAATATACAGTAGGTGTGGGTAAATAAAATAGTCCAAAGCAGTCTTAAAAATAGTCCAAAATAGTTTATAAATAATTATGAGTATCCCTTTAAAATGAATTTTGCAGTGCAATAGGAATTCTTGGGTAGTCAGTAGGTCCTTGTGTCAGCGAATATGATGGGTAGAAGATTTCTTAGTGTAATCCACACATACATGAAGACAAGAAAACAAGAAATCAAATAGTGCAATATGTCAACTTAAATGAGTAATAGGTAATAGGTTGTTTTTTTTAATCATTTTGGGTCCCACAACACCATCTTCTACGGACACTCGCCAATACATCCTGTAGGTGGGGATTATACTACTATACGCTATCAAAACTGGAGCTGGTCAGAGCTCCACCAAATGTGAGTACGCTATCATTGTGTTACCTATTACTCACCCTTCTACTAGCTCTACTTACAGAATCTATGAGAGAGCCTATAAAAGGTAGTGGTAGGTTTGTTTGATGCACACATGCTCATAAAAGTGCTGGAACAGGGACTTGGGGAATTCAACTTCCTCCTTCAAATCGTTGAGTAGGGGTGGAGCGTTTTTGGTTTTTTTATACAACTGTGACAGTTATAACAGAATGCTTAGATGGATGGATGGATGGGTGGATGGATGGAGCCAATAAGACAATTTTTTAAATTTATTTTTTGAATATTTTATTTTCAAAAAAACACAAGGTAAGCAGCATGACCACACAAGAGCGAAATCCACCTTTTCCAGAAATACTTTATTACATTGTCATAAAAACAATAAATAAATTAGAGAACAAATTTTAAAAATGTCAACATGTTATATTGACAGTTGGAAATGTTTTGACGATACAGTCACTGTAATACCCATTCACCTCCCCCAAATGTTGTTGTGGCACATAAAAGCCTACATAACATACCATGTGGATAGAGATAATTAACGGTAGAATATGTCACACAGTGCTCGGCAGGAATTGAAGCACAGACAGTACTAATGGAAATGCTCAATGAAGACATTTTGTACAGAACATGAAAAAAGAAACTTTATATTGTTGTACACTGAATTTAGTCCATTATATGCCACTTCCCTCAAGGTAACATAGGTTAATAGATATCTATAAAATATTTGCTAAAAATAATGTAGCTAAGAACATATTCATTTTATCATATGAGATTATTCCATACATATCCTTGTTTATCATGTTAATCGGAAAAAAATAATACATTGAACAAAATTATAAACGCAACACTTTTGTTTTTGCCCCCATTTTTCATGAGCTGAATTCTAAGACTTTTTCTCTCAAACATTGTTCACAAATCTGTTTAAATCTGTGTTAGTGAGCACTTCTCCTTTGCCGAGATAATCCATCCACCTCACAAGTGTGGCATATCATGATGCTGATTAGACAGCATGATTATTGCACAGGTGTGGCATATCATGATGCTGATTAGACAGCATTATTATTGCACAGGTGTGGCATATTAAGATGCTGATTAGACAGCGTGATTATTGCACAGGTGTGGCATATCAAGATGCTGATTAGACAGCGTGATTATTGCACAGGTGTGGCATATCAAGATGCTGATTAGACAGCATTATTATTGCACAGGTGTGGCATATCAAGATGCTGATTAGACAGCATTATTATTGCACAGGTGTGGCATATCAAGATGCTGATTAGACGGCGTGATTATTGCACAGGTGTGGCATATCAAGATGCTGGTTAGGCGGCATGATTATTGCACAGGTGTGGCATATCAAGATGCTGATTAGACCATTATTATTGCACAGGTGTGGCATATCAAGATGCTGATTAGACAGCATTATTATTGCACAGGTGTGGCATATCAAGCTGCTGATTAGACAGCGTGATTACTGCACAGGTGTGGCATATCAAGCTGCTGATTAGACAGCATTATTATTGCACAGGTGTGGCATATCAAGATGCTGATTAGACAGCATTATTGCACAGGTGTGGCATATCAAGATGCTGATTAGACAGCATTATTATTGCACAGGTGTGGCATATCAAGATGCTGATTAGACAGCATTATTATTGCACAGGTGTGGCATAGGCTGGCCACAATAAAAGGCCAGTGTAAGATACAATAAAATATCCCACATTGATACGATTCACAGATTTATTTTGAAATAAATCCTACATGACTCCTGTAACGGAACCGCTTGGCACCCCGACTGGGTACCTCCGTTGAAGGATGCTCCTAGCACTTCCTGAGGACTCCAAGCACTCTGGCAGACACCACAATCACCGAACCGGAGAAACGAATAAATTCTCCCAAGCATATGAATGCGGTAGACAGTTGAATAGTAACAATACGAATAGGTTTACTCTCCTAGCAGTCAAACTGGAACAGCATACAATAAATCCTTCCCCCAATAATGAGACGACACTTCACTTTGAGGGTTAAAACAGGAACTGACTGGACTGGCACATACAGCCTCTTTTATTCCCAATCCACAAACTTAGTACTGCCCACAGGGTTTTACATAACAACCAATAACACACGTACATTACAGAAAGACACTCCCACACAAAATCCTCCCCTCTGGCTGTGATATGATTACTGAACACAATGGGTAATCTAATTATCATAGCCAGAGAAATACAGTTTCATAAAACACATCACAGGGACCCCAAAACATGCAATAACCCCAAAATATATATCCTTGGAACTGGGGGATCTGGGTGAACCACATATCCAAAATTCACCCAGATCCGTTCAGTACTTTGGAAAATACAGTTTAATGCAGATTCTGCAGAACATATACAGGCTAAATGAAAAACAATCACTGTATAATGTGTCCCCTGCTGTATAGTCCAAAACCACTGCACGATGTCTCTGTGCACCAAATACTGGCGAGATGGCACCGTGTTGAAAAGTCCAAACAGTGTCTGTGAGTTAAAATGGCCGCCATCCATTGTTCTCACCATGTGCTTCTGATACAGGAAATGGTGGCCACCCAGTAACTCCCCAGTATGTCCCCAGATGGTTCTTAAAGGGCCAGCAGCAGCACAACACAAATCCATTATGCCCAAATCATGTCTTTAAAGGGCAATACATCCCAGGGGCCATAGTCACATGGCAGGAGGCTGGCAATCAGTCTTCTCCAATGCCCAGTTGCGAGGTCGGTTTCGCCACAACTCCAAAACAGCAAATATATTTATTTTTGGATCAACAAGCTTGTATTAATGAAGGCCATGTTAATCATGATGTGTGATAGTATAATTGTCTTTCCTTAAAAATCATCAAATCCTTTCTTAATGTTACCCAATGAATGTGACAGCTCAAATTCCAGTCCAGACCTTTATTGTTCTAATTCTGAAGAATTAACTCTTCAAACCTCACAAATGTATATTTTAGTGGCTGATCGTATGCTCTTTGTACAGCACTGCTAATGAGCAGGTCAGCAGAAAGTTGTTTGTTTTAGTTCTGTGTATCATACACAATACAAGGCAAAAACGAAGCCGGGACAATAATTGTGGGCACAAAAATGGAAGGGCTAACAAAAGGAGTGTAGGCAGTAGATTGGCTGCTTTTTAACCAAAGGTCAGGACATAAATTATAACATTTTAAAACAAGCATGTGTGACAGTCAAGGCCCGGTATCCCTATAGGGTACAAACAGACATTAAATGCATCTTTTTATATATGATAATGCAGTCGATTTTTTCCAATTAGCTATGTTTATATTAGAGCATTTATAAAGAAATGTGAGGACTTACACTAGAAATTCCTCCCAACACGTTGGAGTACGGTGACGAACACCGCATTTAACGCTGCCGAGGTAATGAATTTTAAACCCATAAATAGTCCGTAAGCGTGAATCTGGGACCTGTGATACATTGCTATTGATTCTTACCTTGGGAACAGCTTGAATTAATTTTGGTTTCATCCCCAGGTGCTGCTATCTAGGATACACGTCTTGTATTGACACAATGATGACACTAAAACGTGATGCAGTGGTCGCAGACTAAACATCTGGGCTCATTATCTAGCTGGGGTGAGACTAATGAAGCTACAGGAAGTTGAGGTATAAGATCCAATTAGCGTCCACTCAATGTGACTGTAAATGATGGAAATCCTGTTTCATTCATTATGTCTTTTTATCTAAGATCAGTTTCCATCTGGTCCCGATCATATTTAGGGTGTATGATTTGACGTACTTTGCATAGCGAAGTAAATTAAACTTCATTATTCAGCTCAAACTAAAAAATGCATGGCACTACGCATGGTGGCAAAGGATAGTGACGCAAATCTAAAATCATGGCTGTCTCTCCAACAACAGAGCAGTCTCACCTCAGAAATAAATGTTCGCTTTAATTACTCCTTTCAGTGCAATTTGTGTTTGATGCTCAACACTTTAAAATGACAAAATACCTGGCACATGGGATAGTCCAGTTGGTTAGTACTCCGACTCCAGGTTCTGTTTCTGCCAAGGTCAGCTCTGACTTTTCAAACAAAACATGAATTAACTAACAGTAATTTGGGTATAAAGTCATATTTATTACACATAATATTATCGCAAACAAGAAAAAAAAAAGATTTTCCTAGAATTTTTTTTTTTTAGTTTGACAATTTTTATTGTTTTTGGGGTACAGAAAATAAATGGGAGAAAAGGGGGAGGGGGTTAAAGCAGATAAACGTAGATGACACTTGCAACTCATTAGCTTAATTCACAGTTCAGCCAGGGTATTTATTTATTTTTTTACATGCTCACAAACAGCAATATACAATCATTACGCAGTGTTCTCTTTGCCCCAATCAGTTCCCCATGTTAACCCAGCAACTCCCCTATTTCCTCCCTTGTGAGTCAGTGTCTCTCCGCTGCTGTGGGTCTATGGTGGCAGACCTGCACAGTGCACATAAAGTTCAGGTGCTCAGGTAACTCCCGAATGCGTCTACCACAGTTGCTGTTATTGAGGCCCTGGGAATTGTGTCTTTGGTTGCATTAGAGTGCCTCAGTGGGCATAGCTGAGCTCCCCGGGTGTCACGTGGTGTGTGCAAGGGCAAAGATCAATGAGGGTTGCTGTCAAGGTAAGCGTCCTGTCAGAAGGTGTTGTCCCTTCCTCATCTTGTGGGTATTTGCTACAGTGTGGTTTGAGCTCCCTGAGGGGCTTGTGGGCGCTGTGTAACTGGTGTCGGCAACCTTCCCGTCTTGGGTATCCATTCTGGCTAGGCGACCCTCCACTTTTTTCACCAGATCGTTGTGGGCCTCCTCGTGTTCCATCATCTTGCCCTCAATCGAGGCTGTTCTATCCCCCAGTTCTCGGAGGTCAGAGCACAGGCTTTTCTTTTTGCAAAAGACAAAATGACTGTCAGTATGATTCTGACATGTATTATTACTACGAGCCATTTATTGTCACAGACACCAACAGATGAGACATTTCCAAATGATACACAATTTAGTCTCAGGACTGAATGCTGCGATGTTTATGATTCTATTTGCACCTCAAGGCAGCAATCCTTGTAGAGCCCAGTTGTATATAGTTTTCTAGACTTGAAGGAGTCGTTGCTCTGTTGCAATGAGTTTCTGTTGCATAATATTTAGGAAACGTTTGATTCTAACACGTTTCACCACACCTATGCTATCTTGCACGGTCACCCAGGTCACGGTAATTTTCAACTGCGATTGTCGAGAATCTAAAGGTAAAATGTCTCAAAACAATATCTCATCAGCCTTGGGACATCTATAAATAGCAAAAAGTCACTAACTCATTTACCAATGCTGTTTCTCATGTATATGTGAGTGCTTGTCCAGGATGAGTGTAGACCAGCAGAGTATATGTAGAGATGTTTAACTTTATTCACATCTTATGGACATGGTTGATAACAGTGAGATACAAAATTACAAAAGGGGTACAGCAGCGCTAGACAGACTAAATACAGTGGGAGGCAGCACACCTCATAGAATCCCTCTGACCCCCCAAGAAAACCAGAACAAGTTAAAAACAAGGATACAGGTAGCACGAAGAGTAAAATGTATAATATAAAATAAAAAATAAGATATATATAAAAAGAGTCCGCAATAAAATCTGACAGTAAAAAATACCAAATGGTGAAACACAGTCTCTAGAGTGGCAGCATTTTGTTATGGTACTAAAAGATAGTCTCGCTTGGCAGCAGTATATGAAAAAAAAGCAGAGAACAAAGGCAAACCAATCGTTCAATATGGCAATAAATTGTGGGACAGACAACACTTATAGAGGGTGTTCACTCACATATGATTGAGCTATTATCAGATCTGAGCAAAACAGCATGCAGTGGTTTACAATCCCCACTTGTAGCATATCCCTCTGAGTATATGGCAAATCACAACTTGATAGCGATGAGGTAGATCATATCAAATGACAATGGCAGCCAATAGTGCTCTCTATGTAGGTAAGTATTATAAAGGTGATTTGAAATATACTTACAATAACAGGAGTGGACTAACCACGTGCATCAGGCGTGGTTGGTACAATCCCCACTTAGGATCCTTTGGTCTTTAGTCCGCCGATAGATCAAGAGGATAAATCCAGGTGTCAGATAGAATACAAATAATATATGGCTACAAACAAGCAATAATATAGCCAGAAAATACTTTATTAGAATCAAAGATAAACCACAACACGTTTCTCCACTTGAAAAAGCCGTAAGTGGAGAAAGGCGTTGTAGTTTTATCTTTGATTCTAAAAAATCAAAATACTTTTGTTTTTGAATGGCTGTTAACAGTGCTGGGGACATAGGCGTGCACAGCCTATTGCATTAGGGTGTGCACCCTAAAGCACAAGCCGCATATATATATGTATGTATGTATATATATATGTGTGTATATATATGTATGTGTGTATATATATATATATATATACATACACATATATATACACACACAGCATGTGTGTGTGTGTGCTGTGTGAGGGTGCTGTTAGTGTGATGTGTGTGTGACGATGCTGGTAGTGTGCTATGTGGGTGAGGGTGTTTGTGTGTGCGTGCTTGTGAGAATGCTGTTAATGTACTGTGTGTGAGGGTGCTGTTTGTGTGTGTGTGTGCGCTTGTGAGGGTGCTGTTAATGTACTGTGTGTGAGGGTGCTGGTAGTGTGCTGTGTGTGTGTTTGTTAGGGTCCTGTTTGTGTTTGTGAGGGTACTGTTAGTGTGCTGTGTGTGTGCGAGGGTGCTGTTTGTGTGCTGTGTGTGTTTGTGAGGGTGCTGTATGTGTGTGTTGGTGCTGTGTATGTCTGTGGGTGCTGTGTATGTCTGTGGGTGCTGTATGTGTGTGGGTGATGTATGTGTGTGGGTGCTGTGTATGTCTGTGGGTGCTAAATGTATGTGGGTGCTGTGTATGTCTGTGGGTGCTGTGTATGTCTGTGGGTGCTGTGTATGTGTGTGGGTGCTGTGTATGTCTGTGGGTGCTGTGTATGTCTGTGGGTGCTGTGTGTCTGTGGGTGCTGTATGTCTGTGGGTGCTGTATGTCTGTGGGTGCTGTATGTCTGTGGGTGCTGTATGTCTGTGGGTGCTGTGTATGTCTGTGGGTGCTGTATGTCTGTGGGTGCTGTGTGGGTGCTGTATGTCTGTGGGTGCTGTGTATGTCTGTGGGTGCTGAATGTGTGTGGGTGCTGTATGTGTGTGTGCTGTGTGTGTGTGTGCTGTATGTGTGTGGGTGCTGTATGTTTGTGGGTGCTGTATGGGTGTGGGTACTGTGTATGTCTGTGGGTGCTGTATGTCTGTGGGTGCTGTGTATGGGTGCTGTATGTGTGTGGGTGATGTGTATGTCTGTGGGTGCTGAATGTGTGTGGGTGCTGTATGTGTGTGGGTGCTGTGTATGTCTGTGGGTGCTGAATGTGTGTGGGTGCTGTATGTGTGTTGTATGGGTGTGGGTGGGTGATTGTGGGGGTGGAGGTGGGGGTACATTATTTGCTATCCCCCCTCCCTTCTTACCTTTTGTAGGGAGGGGGGATCGTGCTGCTGCTTCCTTCCCTGGTGGTCCAGTGGAGGAGGGGATCCTTGCTGCTGCTTTCCCTGGTGGTCCAGTGGAGAGTGAACTCTAGCCCCCTGTGGGGCTAGAGTTCACTCTCGCGAGATTTGAGCGTTGCCGTGGCAACGCTCATATCTCGCGAGAGGAACCCGGCGGAGCTGCCGGCAATAGCTCCGCCGGGTCCTCTCTTGCCTCCCTCCCTGCATGTGGGTCAGTGGGGAGGGAGGCTGAGAGCAGAGCCGGCGCTTGGATAGCGCCGGCTCTGCATGAGCCGACAGGGGAGATCCTGAGATCTCCCCTGCCGGTCTCAATATACATAGGCGTGCCGCGGGGATTAGGGTGTGCCCAGGCACACCCGGCACACCCCGTGCGCACGCCTATGGCTGGGGAGTTGATTGAAGAGGTCAGGGTAAAACAGCTTAAATAGAGAAAGCTTGGTGGAAGGATAAAATTCAAGGTACGTTTATTAATTAAAAATGTGCAAAACTATATGTGTATATATATATATATATGAGAAGTATAATAATACATACTAGTATTTATAATCTGAGAAATTAAAGGGACACTATAGGCACCCAAACCACTTCAGAATTCTGTTTTTAATTAACTGCAATAATTACATTTGAGGGTTAACTCAACCTCTAGTGGCTGCCTACCAAAGGGACATGCAGGTCATTAGACAACCTTTGGTCACCTTACTGATGCTGAATGTCCTCACGCTGTATATGACATCCAGTGTCACTCTAAACTCCATAGGAAAGCATTATACATGCTTTCCTACGGGGGAAATACTAATGCAAGCGCAGCCATTGCCGCCAGCTGACATGGGAGGAGCGGAAGTGGAGGTAAGTTACTCAGGTAAGTGAGAGAAGGTTTTTTTTAAACCCTTCTGCACCCTGGGGGGAGGGGAGGTTGATGTAGGGGGGCACTATAGGGAGCTATAGTACCAGGAAAATAACTTTGCTTTCCTGGCACTATAGTTTACCTTTGACAGAGGACAGAACTTGGTAGGTTCGGACACTTGAAGAAGTACTATATTATTAGACATATAATCCTATGTCCTTAATGCTATAGTGCCCCTTCTCCCTAATTAAATTCAGGTGTTGACGTCCTTCCCCATTGGCCATAAAATTTTATAAAAGAAGTATTAACTTACCTTTTTTCATTGCCGAGGCATCCCCAGTTCTGCTCACCCCTCCGCCTTCCACAACGTTAGCAAGGAGGCATGGCCTCCTCTGCGATGGTCCATCCAATTCTCCTCATAGACCTGATGCGCATGCTCAGTGAGTGCTGCGCATGCATTCCAGCTTCCCCGGTCAGTGGAGCAGAAATGTGGATTTAACCTTGTAATGTAAAAATTGTAGTTTCTAAAACAAGCTGTAATATTTTACATGGCAGGGTTAAAAGGACAGGAACACTGCACCCCAACCACTTTACTGAGATGAAGTGGTCTGAGTGACTATGGTGTCCCTTTAAAGGACTAAAAGAAAATGATATTCGTTCTTGCAATATTTTTCACACACCATTCATTTGTAGTTATTTTTTTGATGTGCTGCTGGTTAGTGCATGCCCACTTTGCGTCATATTTATAAAGGATATAAAAGGTGCTATTTTGGTGCAAAGTGTTACATAAGGAGCAGATGCCATGGAAACAAACAGAATGTTGCTCCTCATTTTTAACATTGCTCCAACATAGCACCTTTTTTTCTTTCAATAAATATGGCCCGTAGAGAGTTAAACAGCTGCTGATTTGAGAAACGTATATTATTTTATGTAATCTGAGGTTTTACAGAGAAAATGTCTCTTGTTATTAATATTTTTTCTTGTCAAGGGAGTTGTTGTACGTTGCTTTCATCCCCACCTCCCAGTAAAAATCATAGAACACTTTAATGACAGATTGTTTGTTGGCATGAAATAATTCTTGAAGGTGAAACGCTCAGCACTCCAGTTATCGGAGACGCCATACATTTTACCAATGTCCTCTTGACTAATTGCAAACAATAGAACGAATGAAAATTTGCATCTAAATTGTTAGAAAAGAGAGTTGGAATTATCTTGTGAAGGCTGAGTGATATCCAGCCTGCTACGCTCTGCGGACTAGCATTGGCAAATCTTGTTTTTAGGCAGATCGTCACGTTAAAACGCTGGAAAATGATAAATGGGAGGCAGGGAGCATGTGTGCAGAAAGGGAAGGAGCTGTCGGAGCACAGGTGTTTGGATGCACCTCAGCTTTATAAATGATCCCAACTGCTAAGCGCTATCTATAATAATAATCGTCACCTGTCCCCAATTCGGGCAAGAAGCAGAGCTTTCCTCTGGAAACGTAGCCTGAATTCTGCTCACATACAACATACACATCACATGTTTCGATGTGCAGTTCCAAAAAGCACCATTATCACATTAATCACTATAAGAGAGGAAAGCTTTAACCCTTTCAGGGTCAGGAGAGAACAAACATGCACATGTGCAGATTTTACAATGTGCAATTCGCTGATTGGTTTTATCCCAATTTTTGTCCTGGTGTCGTTTACCTGCGTACCTGGGAATCCTCAATATTTAACCCTCTGCTTCCAGGCATGACAACATCTGCGCCATCATACATTTCCCAAAGAATCAATCTATCTATGTACACTGAGCAGCTCCAACATTAAAGCCACCTTGCTAATATTAGTTATACTGTTGCATCGAGACTCCATGGACTCCACAAGACCTCTGAATGTGTACTGTGGTATCTGGCACCAAGACATTAGCAGCAGATACTTTAAGTCCTGCAAGTTTCGAGGTGCACACTCCATGGATCAGATTTGTTGTTCCAGCACACCTCACAGATGCTCAATCAGATTAAGATCTGGGGCATTTGGAGGCCAAGGCAACATCTTGGACTCTTTGTCATGTTTCTTAAACCATTCCTGAGCAATGTTTGCAGTGTGGCAGGGTGTATTATCCCATTGAAGAGGCCACTGTCATCAGGGAACACCATTGCCATGAAGGGGTGTATGCGGTCTGCAACAATCTCTAGACAGGTGGTACGTGTCAGTGTAACATTTACATGAATGCCAGAGTCTAATGTTTCCCAGCAGAATATTGCCCAGAGCATAACACTGCCTCCGTCGGCCTGCCTTCTTCCGATAGTACATCCTGCTGCCATCTCTTCTTCAGGTAAACAACGCACCCAGCCATTCACCTAAAAGAAAACGTGATTCATCATGCCATGCAACCTTCTTCCATTGCTCCGTGGGCCAGTTCTGCTGCTCACGTCTCCATTGAAGTCACTTTCGGAGGTGGACAGGTGGCATCATTAGCACTCTGACTGGTCTGTATGATCTGACACCTTTCTATCATGGCAGGCATTAAGGTATTCAGCAATTTGAGTTATAGCAGCTTGGGTGCCCATGGCCCTGACTCAGATCCACAGTTGTCCTTCCTTGCACCACTTTTGGTAGGTACTAAGTAACTACTGAATACCGGGAACAACCCACAAGACTTTCCGTTTTGAAGATGCTGTGACCCAGTCGTCTAGCTATCACTATTTGACCCTTGTCACTCAGATGGCATCTCTTGCCCATTTTTCTGCTTCCAATCTATCTCTCTTTCTGTCTGTCTATCAATTTATCTACATTTCAGTCTGTCTCTCTCTCTCTGTTCATCTGACTGTCTCTACGTCTGTGATAAACTTGTGTTTCCATTGAGGCTGACAGCTGTCTGCGTTATTATTATTGCTAGAGCATTGATAAACATTATTCCTTACAGACACCATTCCCATCACTATATCCAACATCAGATTCAGCTTTTTTTTAAATGCCAAACCTCCCAATATAAGATAAAGTGAAATTCGGATGGAGCTGGAGTCGGGGATAGGCAGTGATGTTAGTCATGTGACACTAGACTAGAAGGGACGCATAGGCCTCCGTCTGCCAATCAGGACTTTGAAGGCTGAGAGTAAAATTTCAGCTAAAATAATCAGCTGTCACTATATGTGATTTGGCTAATGTTTCCATACCAGATATTTTTGGCAACATTTTGCAAATCTGTTCTAAATTCACTACAATTCAGTGTTTAGTGAAAAACTTCTAAATAATCTTTAAAAAAATTAAAACACGGTCTGGTAATGCCTGGGGCGAACATGTACTCCAAAAACTCAGGACCAAGGCTTGATCATTGCCCAGAAGTGTGTATCCGTGTCTCTTCTGCACAGCTCATTCCAGTTGGCATTTTAATAGCATTTATTGGGGTCAGGATAAAACAAAACAAAGTTTCTTGGCACACACAGGCAGTGAAATATTCATACTGTAAGAAACTACATAACATTAAATCTCTATTTTCCTTCAAGCACGAATCCATGAAGGTTCTATCTACATCTTGTCACTCGGGGTCAGCAATCCCCGTGAATTACATGCGCCATAGAATGACTAATAAAACAATACTTGCTCTAAGAGTTCAACCTGGGAATATTGTGTTGCACAAGAATCTCGTTTGGATGCAGTAAAATTAACTTCATCAAATCTGCAGTTTTCTGTGAAACATTGTAAACACAGTGTCTGACTAGCTAGATTAGAATGAACTGCTGCAATTATCTGCCCTGTGTGTGACTATTGCACCATTAAAGCGTCTCTGCTACAGACGATGCGCATAGTAATTCAACAAAAAATAATCTAGCGTAATGAATAAAAAGATTTTAAACAAGCAGAAAAAAAGGACAATTACTTTTCTCCCAATTTGCAAAATTAAACCAAAATTACTATGGAGGAAAGCTATGCAGCTGTGATCTGATGATTTGTTCTGGAACGGGAGGTTTTTAAATGCTAATGTGTTTGGGTTGTGTTTTATTAGAAGTAGCCAGAATAGGTGAAAAGAGGCTGAAAATAAATCGATAGAAAGGAACCAGGAATCTGCATATTACCCGTCCCTTGTATTCATTACAGGAGTGGGAAATAGGCAGCCGCAGGAACAAAGGGGCTCATAGAATGTGGTGACATCATCTGTGAAGCGGCTGTGGCTTTTCATAAAGCTGGAGGGTGGAGCTAAATGCCACTGATCCAAACTGATGTCACTTAAAAAAAAACAACGCATTACAGTTATGCTCAAAGGTTTGCATACCCTGGCAGAAATTGTAAAACTTTGGCATTGATTTTGAAAATATGACTAATCATGCAAAAAAAGGTCTTTTATTAAGGGATATTGATCATATGAAGCCATTTATTATCACGTAGTTGTTTGGCTCCTTTTTAAATCATAATAATATCAGAAATCACCCAAATGGCCCTGATCATAAGATTACATACCCTTCAATGTTTGGCCTTGTTACAGACACACAAGGTGACACACACAGGTTAAAATGGCAATTAAAGGTCAGTGGCATCACTGGGGGGGAGGGGCCATGGCCACCCCTAAATCATGCCATGCCCCTCCTCCCCCCTGTACCCTCCCAAATGCAGGCACTGTATCAAGGGCAATGTATTTGTTTTTTTAATATTGCCTGGTGGAGAATAATGAATCCTCCACCCGGGATTATTAAAAAAAACTGCCTGTGTGTGTGTGTGACTGCTTGTCTCTGTGTGTGTGGCTGTGTGCCTGTATTTGCCTGTAACTGTGTGTGTGTGTGTGACTGTGTGTGTGTGTGTGTGTGTCTACCTTTGTGTGTGTGTGTGGCTGTGTGCCTATGTGTGACTGTAAGTGTGTGTGTGTGACTGTCTGCCTCTGTCTGTGTGGTTGAATGCCTATATGTGACTGTAACTCTGTGTGTGTGTGTGTGTCTGTGTGCCTATGTGTCACTGTAACTGTGTGTGTGTGTGACTGTCAGCCTCTGTGTGTGTGGCTGACCGCCACGCCTCACAGCAGCCCCACTGGACCACAGGTAGAGATCCACTCCACTCTCCAGTACTCCCAAAGGCAGGGTGGACAAATTAAAATAATAATATAATAATTTGAGTAAATTGTGAGTGTGTGTGAGAGAATGTGTGTATGTCTGTCAGTGAATGTGTGTGTGTCTGTCAGAGAATTTGTATGTGTCTGTGAGTGTCTGTCACATCAGTGAGAGTCTGTGTTTGTCACTGAGTGCTTGTGTGCCTGTCAGTGAATGTGTGTGTGTGTCAGTGAGTGTATCTGTGTCTGTCAGTGAATGTGTGTGTGTGTCAGTGAGTGCTGTGTCTGTCAGTGAATGTGTGTGTGTGTCAGTGAGTGTATCTGTGTCTGTCAGTGAATGTGTGTGTGTGTCAGTGAGTGCTTGTGTGCCTGTCAGTGAATGTGTGTGTGTGTGTCAGTGAGTGTATCTGTGTCTGTCAGTGAATGTGTGTGTGTGTCAGTGAGTGTATCTGTGTCTGTCAGTGAATGTGTGTGTGTGTGTCAGTGAGTGCTTGTGTGCCTGTCAGTGAATGTGTGTGTGTGTGTCAGTGAGTGTATCTGTGTCTGTCAGTGAATGCGTGTGTGTGTGTCAGTGAGTGTATCTGTGTCTGTCAGTGAATGTGTGTGTGTGTCAATGAGTGTATCTGTGTCTGTCAGTGAATGTGTGTGTGTGTCAGTGAGTGTATCTGTGTCTGTCAGTGAATGAGTGTATGTCAAATCAATGCCATTTATAGTTGTCTGGTGTAACTTTATAATATTGCAAGAATTAGAGTTGCTGGTGTTATATATTAACCAAAATCGTACATACTTACTATAATCTACCAATATGAAAATCTGATTCCATTAATCCATTCGGCAATTTTTCTTCTATTTTCAATTGAGCTGAAAGTAACTCAATGAACATTTGGTCAAAATATACAGAATAACAAAAATAATATTAACTATGTTAAGTAAATGTTTAGTTATACCTTTTTTTTAACCGCTGAATTTTACAAATATCATTTTCTGACAATAATGGTCTTTGAAGGGTGAGATTAAAATGTGGAATGCCATATATCTAAAAGAAACATCCTTTAGAGTCTGTGAAAGCAAACACAGTAAAAATAAAAGTACTAACATACTTATTGTAGCGGAGCTCCAATACCCCGACTGGGTATCTCCGCCGAATATCCTCAAAGCTGGAAGAAACTCTTTAGTGAATAGCTCTATTCCCCCCAGTAACTAGACGACACATAGTTCTGGGGGTACAACTGGTTTTATTGAGCCGAATGTTGCCTTTTATGCACAGACACCCAGCATAGGGTCTCCATTGTATTCACACAGTGCCCACGTAGGTGCCTCTGTGTCCGGGAGATAATTGAGTTGCTGATCCCTAAACTAATTATCTCCCAGATGCAAAGTGCCTAACATAAAAGACCTAACATAAAGACCCCCCAAAATACAGTAAAAGCAAACAGGAACCCCACATATCATACATCCCCAGCTCTGGTCCGAGCGCCCATGTTGGCCAAATGGCACCCGGATCCATGAAGAATTGTCAAATCGCATCCGGGGTAAAGTACTCACTGGCCGCACATGAGGACTAAGCCCAAAAGCATAATTGTGGCTCGGTCTGGTCAAATAGCAGGAGCACCTGCGGTCAAATGGAAGGAGGCTTCCTCTGGTTCTCGGGAGTGATTGTTACAATTAGTCTGTAGTACCTTCCCTCCAAATAACGCTCTCTCTGCAAAGTAAAACAGCCATAGCTGAGTTTCAGAAGGTTCGCAGATAAGTACCGTTGGGTACCGTTGGGGACCGTTCAGGAGTTAGCACAACCGAATAACTGCCAGGGAGGATGCTTTCAGCAATAGACATTCGGTAGAAGTGAAGGTACTGAGCCGGGGGACAGTGAACAGTTCTTTTGGGGAAAAGTTTTGGGTACAAGGACAGGATCTGCCACACTTATGATGTGCATAGGGTTTTCCCTACATTTACTTACAGTCCCCTACGACCACATTTAGAAAAGTTACCTTGTTCTAAGGTTTAGTGAAATCATTTTTTAAAACATCATGCTGTAGAGGCTCTCTGGCATGAAAGCTCACTCAGGCACAGACGCGGCACAGTAAGTACCCAAACATTGGCCTGGATTGACCTCTGTTACTATAACGTCACTTTATTTTTAAAAAAAATAGTCTCCTCTTGACGTACAAAAATATATGATTCTCCCAAACCCACCAGATCCTGCATGGGCAATTAACTAAGAAAAATTACACTCTGCTTCTTGACGTGAGCTATAGATGTCCTTCGTTCTACATTACAAGTGACTTCATCCATCGCCACGGCCTATAGCTTTACTTTCATCTGTATGAATGGTGTCTGATGTGCCTTTTTGCTGGCTTTTATTTGGATTCTAAAGGTATTCAGGGTAAGCCGTGAGCTGAAATTAGCTCTGAATAATATTTATGGAAGACATTTGCAATGAATTTTAATCTGCCCCATTAGTTGACTCGTGAATGTTCCGAGGGACGAGGCTGCTAGGGGTTTGGAATATTAAACTATGAAAGGTTATGAGGGACATTTCATTTGGAACACTGTTATCCCAACTAATTGGATTCCTAATCACCTGAAGGTTACGATCTCTGTGCAGGTGTCTTGAATAAAAATCATCGTCCAATTAGAGAAACATTATTTCCCCACCTCCGTGGCTTGAAATTAACGTCGACATTTCATATCTCTGCACAACAAATTGCCATCTAACATAGTTAGAAACAAAAGTGAGTTAAAGGAGACAAATATTGCAATTTATAACTAAAATGTTGAATAATTAAAGAGAAGCACTCAAAATGTAACCCATATGGTAACCTCATATTGCAAGAATCCTGATTTAGAATATTAAAGATAGTTTTACTATGCCTTAATTGATTCATTTAAGATGAAAAACTCTATTAACCATTGAGGCACAATAAGGTAGTGAAACATTGCAAAGCCATTTCTTGTTTGTTTTTTTTTAAATAAACTATATTTTAGACTTGTGCGCGGTGAAAAATTGTGATTCGGCTGAATAACTTTATGTGAAAACAAATGAGTTTGGGTAGTTCGATAGTCGTCCATGTGGAGTTTCGGCTTGCCCAATTATCGTGCCTGCAAAATACTCAGATAAACCAAAAAGGCGAGAAAATGGGCCAATCAGTGAACTGCAAAATATAAATTGTATGTATTAACCATTCTCTGATCTATTTGGCATGATGTAGCCAAGACCATTAAACATATTATAGGGAATTCATAACAAATCAGATCGAAAGCCTACAAAGATCCATTTCACTACCTATATTATGTAAAACAAAGGGGATTTAGTTATAAAATGTGATCATATAATGTGTAAGTCTGCTATTGGACCTTCTTGGCAGATCCTAGGTTAACATATATTTAGTTAATCCATTGACTATCACCTCTAACCCAGGGCTGACTATTTGTGCCCAAGGCAAGACAAGCTACTGCCTCCCCCCATACCCAAAACCAAAATTGCCAATGTTGTATGTCTTTTTCTTTCCCCAGCCTCTATAAGCGTCTCTTTCTCCCTCAACTCTTTTGTGTGTCTCTTTCTCCACAGCCCCACTGTGTGTCTCTTTGTCCCCCAGCCCCTCTTTGTGCCTGATTTTCCCTGCAGCCTTGGGTGTGTCTCTTTTTCCCCCTTCAGCCCTCTGTGTCCCTCTGTCCCTTTATATCTCACCCCCATAATGTTATGGTCTCACCTTCCCTGTCATTTTATAGTCTCCCTTCCCCATCCCTTTGTGGTTTCTCTCCCCCCACTGTCCCTTTATGATCTCTCACCCCCATCCTTTATAGTCTCTCCCCCCTCCCCATCTCTACGTAGTTTCTCTCCCCCTCCCACTGTCCTTTATGATGTCTTACCCCCATCCCTTTATAGTCTCTCCCTCCCCCATCCTTTGTGGTTTCTCTCCCCTCCCACTGTCCCTTTATGATCTCTCACCCCCATCACTTTATAGTCTCCTCCCCTTCTCCCATCTCTATGTGGTTTCTCCCCTCCACTGTCCCTTTATGATCTCTCACCTCCATCCTTTATAGTCTCTCCCCCTCCCCATCTCTACGTGGTTTCTCTCCCCCCCACTGTCCTTTATGATGTCTTACCCCATCCTTTATAGTCTCTCCCATCCTTTGTGGTTTCTCTCCCCTCCACTGTCCTTTATGATCTCTCATCCCCCATCACTTTATAGTCTCTCCCCTTCCCCATCCCTTTGTGGTTTCTCTCCCCTCCCACTGTTCCTTTATGATGTCTCACCCCACATCACTTTATAGTCTCTCCCCCTACCCATCTCTATGTAGTTTCTCTCCCCCTCCCACTGTCCCTTTATGATCTCTCACCCCCCCATCACTTTATAGTCTCTCCCCTTTAATTGTTTATCTGCTCTGCTGAATACATTGTTTATTTCCAAGAGCTACTAACCTGCAGTAACTTACCACCTAGTAATAATTCACTTTGAAAGACAGCATATTGTGCCGTATTTTCAAAGCCACACAGGTGCTCTTGTTGGGAGAGTAAAATGTTAAATGTAGTGATTGTCTTTTATAAATATTTTTTAAAATAATAATAAAAATACATTGTGATGAGACCAATCTCGCCACATTGCATTGGAGAAGCCTGGTTGCTTGCCTGCTGCCTTTGGATTATGGCCCCATGTTAAAAGACTTTATTTTCCCCTGCAAAGACAAGAAAGCCGGGTCATTTGGTGCTTGCCCTGTTTGAGCAGTGATGCCCCAGATAGCTATGCCATGGAGCCCATTCGTATAATGAAAGACTATGGGAAAGACTTTGGCTCCATGGCAATTGAACTGTATGTGTGTGCTCTGAGTGCCATTCAGTAATAATGTGCGCTTAGACCTAAGCTATCTAGGCATATGTTGCATGTCTGTATTTTATGTCATAAATGTAACCTTGTGTATTTTATTGTATTTTACTGTCTTTTGCTGCCATGTGTTCAATGGAGTTTTGCCTCTGTCTTTGGAGATAATTGGATTACTTCTAATTATCTCCAGGATAGAAGACTCTGTGGAACTGGTTTTGGGCAGAAAAGCCATGCTTCCTGTGGTCACAAAGGACTACGATCTATCTTTTGAACCACTGGACCAATTTGTATGATTTTGACGTATGTTTGTATTTGGAGTATGCTGATTCTGAAAATGTATTATGTGAATGTGATGCATACTTTTCAAGTTATGAATAATGTGGAAAAATTGTATTTCTCTGCTTGTTCTAAATTACATTACCCATTGTGTAAGGTAATTGAATCACATGCAGAGGGGAGGAATTTGTGTGGGAGTGTCTGAGTGTATTGTATGTGTTTATTGGTTGTGTTCCAAAACCCTGTGGGTGGTACTAATGTGTACATAAGCACAATAAACCCACAGCTCTGTCTGTTCACTGCTTGACCCTCAACACGGAGCTTTGTCTCGTTCTTGGGGGGATTCACTGTATGCTGATAGCGACTGATTGCCAGGAGTGCAAGCTGCTTGGGTGCTTTTCCTGTTCAGCTGCTAGCAGCTATTCGTGAGGTTCCAGTTCTGGAATTTGGAGTGCTACTTGGTATCCTGTTCGGGAGTTTGGTGTTCTGCAGTAGCTGTGCCTGCATCTCTGAAAGGGGACGATCGCCTAAACGGTTTTTACCCCTTGTGTGCAAAACAGTCCGTTACATACATTTACAGCAGAACAGCACCTGTTTTTACTTTGATAAAAATGACCCATTTCTTTGGCAACTTGGATTAGATTGCTTGAATTCTGGCTCAATTAAAATGGATCTATATTAGACTGTAAGCTCGTTTGAGCAAGGCCCTCTTCAACCCTTCGTTTCTGTGAGTTTTCTTGTAATTGTCCTATTTATAGTCAAATCCCCCCTCTCATAATATTGTAAAGCGCTACGGAATCTGTTTGGCGCGATATAAATCGCAATAATAATAATAACTTTCTCTCCTTCTCCTTTTTAGGACACAATACCTTTTTTGTTTTTGTAATGGATTAATGTAAATAATAATAATAATTTTATTTGTTTGTTTTGATAGTATGTCCCATTTACAAAACCCCATGATGAAGACATCGTTCTGAAAGAGTCAAGTTAAATCTGTCCTCCATGATGTAGAATGTGTGGTTGTTTGTAATATTTCCTGCCTGACTTTCTTCCTAGAGTCTACATTTAAAGACGTTCTCTTAGCAGTGACTGTAACTATCTCCTGCAGACTAAAAGCTAAGTGCTTGGGCAACAGACATAATTTCATCTACCGCCTGCGGGAAAACATTGAAACATCGAGTGGCAAAGATACTTCAAATCCATGAATTGTTCAATGTTCCAGTAATCATCTTGTTCCATTTCCACGTGCACAGATGTCTTTTCATTATCTAAAGTTCTGGATTGCTCCGGCCTTTTAAATAAACATGTCTGCACGGTTTTCACTAATCAATGCCTGTGTCCTTAAAAGGGTCATTAAATAATTGGATAATGAAATGCATTTACGGTATATTTTGTTTATTATATTTGTTTGTAAGCATTAACATTACATTTCTTTAGGTTGCTGATTTCTGTATAAGAATGTTTTTGGCATTTTCTGAAAAGTACAAATGGCAGTGGGCTCAGCAGTGCGCTTCCATCTCCCCTTCGTTCCCACCCATTTAGATACAACCAGCTCTATTCCAATGTGACATTTTAGGAGATACCCGCTTCTGATGGCACAGATCTCCCAGCTTTGCTTCCTCGCATTGGGGAGATTAAGACAGGCTCCTGGTCCCAGCAGTGCATTATAGCACAGTCAGAGTTACAAATCACCTGTGACTTTATATTGGATAACAGATACTTGGGTCACACTCACTAAGAGAACAGAGTATTTGGGGCCCTGTCAGAGCTACATCCCTTGTGAATTCTTTAGTTACTTTATTCTAATTATTATTTATTTTAGGAAGATACCAGCATGGTCTGCAGCACTTACAATAAAATAGAATTACAGACAAGCTAACATGCGCAACCATTGCATGAATTATAACATAAGGTATGAAATGATAATTACTACTATAGAATGACTTGCTCACATGAGCTTACAATCTAGTGGAAGATAAATTAGTATGACAAAAGGTGAGCAGATGGAAGGAAGGGGTAAGTGGTCAGTGTATAGGTGGGTTTTGAGAAAGGTGTGAATTTGTGGAATGTGAGAGTGAGTCTGACAGATCAGGTAGGAAATTACATAGAGTAGGACCTACCAGAGACACTAAATCTGATCTCAGACAGGACCTCCTATTTGAATCTCTTGGGAAATGTACATATTTGAGACGTGAGACTTCTCCTCTCACATCTCATTGTTTAAAGAAATAAATAAGATGAGATCTTGAAATGTGGATATTTATTATGATATTACATATTTAAAATTGCTCAGTTGGCTCAATGATTGTGCGGAAAAAAACAAAGTATGATCCCGCAATGATTTTTATCTCGTCATTTTAACCAGAAGGAGATAACTTTCCCCTGACCTTTCCAAACATTTACCTTCTACCCACAGCGAACGAACAAAGTCAGCAACTCTGACAAAAAAATGACACTTCCAGCACACCCTCCACAAATAAACCATTTAGTGAAAAATGACAAGTGCTCTCCAACCTCTCTCGGCTAGTCATTCAGATATCTGTGCCGTGCAGATACCATAGAAATAATAGACTTCTGTACTATTCAACTGGAAACAATCAGTACAGATACCCTCTACAAATCTATCTGGAGCCATATGCGAGATTTGCAAGGGTTTCTTTAATATGATCCCACCAAACTTCTAAGAGGAAATGTACAAAATATTAAAGTACACGAGGGTCTGATGGAAAAAGCATCAAAATAACAAGAAATATTTTCATATTACAAAAAAAATAGCAGTAGGTATCCGATGCTTCCCAACGAATTCAGCTTAATGAAGGGTGATCGATTCTCATCCTTTCAATCCGTGATAGTTTGTATCCAGGATTATTTCATAAACCACAAGGGAAATACGTTACAGCCAAAGATAGGAATATAGGAAAAGATTGTTTGTTCTATCATAAATTAAAAAGGAAAACATGAGTTGTGGTCTGGAACCCGACAACGGCGGTTCATGCAAGAACAGCTCCGCTACCAGAGTCATTTGGACCCTAACCGGTCGACACAGAGATACCATAAGAGCCATGGCACAGCCTAAACCCAAGAGACCAAAGCCCAATTCTTAACTCCGCTGGTGGGACAGAGCAAAACTTAAACGCACCACGAGGCAAGCCAAGATGAGCCCGAGAACCGACAGACATAACCAGCCCCCAAAAACTGCTCACACAAGGAGTAATGCAGAATATGCTGGATGAAATAATAACAAAGTATTTAACCAGAAGTACATTCAGATTACTCTGGTTTTCAAGTAAGTCTTGGGGGTGTTACCTTAGCCCAACATACAGGGGTTGTTACTATTACCCAATTTAATGGTAGTGAGCTATCTCACTGCAAAGCTAATCTACAAGCTACAGACCTCCATTAGTGATCTCAGAAATGATCTGCAGGAACTGGGGTTGAGAACCTCCACTGAGAAGGAAAAAGTGGCTGAATTTGCGTACGCCCACGGTGACCTGGCTACAGTGGTGGAGGATCTCAAAGCACAGGTGGAAACGTATGAAACGAAATTGGCCAACATTGAGGATTGGGCCAGATGGAACAACCTCCACATCAGAGGATTAACCGAGGATATGGGTACGTCTGACTTACAGGTCTACATCACCAGGGCCGGCGCCTTAGGCGCTCCTTAGGTGCACCAGCCCTGGGGTCGCCACATCAGGCTGACCGGAAGGAGGGAAGCGCACTGCGCTCCCCTCCAGCCGGTTACTATTTGTAGCGTGGCCGAGCGCAGCCCAGAGATTCCCGCCTGCGGAGCCCAGCCTTGGCCCGCCCACCTCATACCCTGGTGTCTGCCACAGGATTCCTGTGTACCGTACAGCGCAGCTGACACCCAGTGATGGGGTTGGGCTGCAGGACGGGACTCCACAGAGCCAGAGAGCATGCACCCCAGGGATCAGAATGAACTGATGTATGTATGTTTGTCTCTGAATGTCTGTATATATGTCTCTTTATGCATGTGTGTAACTGTGTGCCTTTATGTCTCTGTATGTACGCATGTATGTATGTGTCTGTGTGTCTCTGTATGTCTTTGTATGTATGCATGTTTCTGTATGTATGTATGTGTCTGTATGACGGTTTGCCTCTGTATGTATGTATGTATGTATGTTTGTATGTGTCTGTATGCCTTGTATGTATGTTTCTGTATGCCTGTATGTCTCTGTATGTACATATGTATGTGTATGTATGCCTGTATGTCTTTGTATGTATGTTTCTGTATGCCTGTATATATGTATGTGTCTGTATGGCGGTATGTCTCTGTATGCAGGCATGTCTTTGTATGCCTGTATGTTTCTGTATGCCTGTATGTCTCTATATGTATGTATGTATGTGCCTGTATGTCTTTGTATGTATGTTTCTGTATGCCTGTATGTATGTATGTATGATTATTTCTGTGTTTGTATGACAGTGTACCTGTATGACTTTGACCGTGTGACTGAAAAATGATGGCTGTGGCTTGGGAGGAAATACACACAGGTGAAGATGCATTTAAAAAAAAAAAAAATTTAAAGGAAGCTAAGGGCACCAAAATGCACCTTCGCCTGTGTAACTAAAAACCCTAGCACCGGCCCTGTACATAACTGATCTCCTCCACACGCTGACACTGGACCTGCCAAGGTGCACAGGACAATAAAACCCAAATTTCTACCGCCTGACACCCCAAGGGACCTACTGCTGAGAATGCCCTACTACCATGCCAAAGAAGAAGTCCTGAAGGGGAGCAAAGCCAAGAAAAAATGGCCAGAGAAATACCATGGGATCAACATATTCATGGACATCTCGTTGTACACATTAAAGAAACGCAGGGAATTCCAAAGCATCATCACATTGCTCAGAGAACACCGCATTGCATACCACTGGGGCTATACGGTGAAGATGCTGGTGCACAGTGAAGGGAAGATTAAAGTCATCTTCTCCCCGGCAGAGGGCCAGTGTATCCTGAGAGAGTGGAATATTGCCGAGCTGAACACAGTGGATCCGCCTTAGGAGCGAGTGAACATCCCTACGGAGTGAAAGAGGGTGAGACGTCGCTGAGGACTACACCGGGCACCTTCTGTGTCAATATGATATGAGTGCAAGTATACCTTGGTTCCTTAAACGGGCCACATTCTGCCTTGAAATACCCTCCTGTTTGTGACATAGGTTGTGATTATGGCTGCTATTCTTTAAGTGGAAATGCTGGCACATGTTATGCTAGATGACCTAGATGTGCAAACTAGTTAAAACTCCATGGCTGCTTAAGACATTGCAACAGTATTTCCTAGACAATATTACTCCAGGTATGTCCCCAAAAACAGTCTGGCAGGCACACAAACCCGTCATCAGGGAGCTGCTCATCTTAAAGCTGCTCATCTTAAAGCACATGTATGTACGTAGCGGGGAATGTGGTGGGACTAAAAGTAAAGAGACTACACCACTTGTCCCCTTAATAACGACAGACAACGAATATTGGATGAAACAGGCCACAGCATTTATTAAAGCTTACAATTGTAGGACACATCCGAACTTTATTCTTTTCTTTTACTTCAAATATAAATAAACACATAAATATATATGCATACCATAATTAACATATAAATTAACACTTATTGCCCTACAGCCTCCAACTTAAATAACCGTCCTTGCCAACGAACATAACCAGGTGCCTATGCACCAAAACTTTACCCACTGGTGTCTCTCCTCCCCCCTCGTCCAAACCAAAATTCCCATCATCTTAAATGCTCTACCACTAGCTGGCTCTTTGCTCGGTGGGCACGTCCTATTCGGTAACTTGAAAGTTTACCTTACAGAGCAGGGGAGGTTGAGACCCACCTTGACCATCTCTTGACATTCCATCTGCTTTCCAACCCTGTTGCCAAGGACACGCTCACTGCCACAAACCCCGCTGTTTTACACCTAAAATCAGCGGGGAGCCCCACCACAACTAACCTAGGCCTGTTCCACCACTTCCTGCATGGCAAGAGAAAAGGTTGAGCCCGACCTCCATACCCATAAACTCTTTGGCTGCCACATGTGCGATACACCCTGTAGCGAACCAAAATCCCCTTATACTCAAAAACACACCTAGAGGCCCTCCAATCACTGTGTAATTGGATTATGGGCACGCTGCTAAAGATACGGGAAATGACCTCTGACCAATCGAGTTTTTTTTATATATATACCTTTTTTTTAAAATTTATTTATTTTATTTTTTATTTATACTTTTTTTTTTTGGAACTGCCTTAGTTATAACATATGATAAATACCGTATAACACATCCAGAATTTATTTTAATAGTCTCTCTTCTTACCAGGAACCAAAACGTTAAACATAAATTACCATAACTGAACATATATAACTTAACACATAGTGACATAAAGTGAACCCAACACCACGCATCACGAAACAACTAAAGCACGCACAAATACCCTCTTAGGGGCAGATGCCAAATACCACATTGGCATCATCCCAAGCTCAATGCCCCCCAAGTGGATAACCGAACCTTAGGGACCGGTGGGACAGTGGCAAAACCTGTCCCAGGAGGAGCCGAACCCATTCCATACATCTGGCACCAAACAAAACAAACCTCCGCTTCAGAAGGCGCACAACCCAATAGCTCACCTCCCGGATGGACACCCGCACGCCACTCAGGAGTATAACCAGAAACAATACATCCAGATATTTTCTTTTTCCAATTGAACCCTGGGAATTGTTATACCTAAAGAACCGATACTCATGTATCTACCTCAAAGGAACGAATGGTTGAGCCACCGCTGCTGAGCATTGAACCCGTGATCCCCCAGGGACTAAACAAATTCCATGAAACCAGCATTACTTCACTGAGCCATCTCACCATACCCCCTCCCGGATCACTGTGCCATGTGTACGGACATACCCATCCTAACAGCCTCCCAGGCAGCGCTAAACCGAAAGGAATGCCAATATTTCTTGCTGTCGATTCCCAGAACCATCAGACGCGAGCGAAAAACCCAAGAATTGGAAATGGGAAAGAAAATATCCCATCCACATAACCCCAAGAGGACCGTGCATAACGGGCGCAGCCCACAGTTCACCTGAAAGGAAAAATTACAACAGCCGACCCCTTATACACTTCCCAAAAACATCCGACCATGATTGTCAAATACTCATAGTGATATGATCCACAAGGCGCCGAATGGTGGCAAACAATATCCAACCACCGCCTGGCCTACTATGAATCACCAATTCCCCAATGTACATGGCCCCAACGAATTCCCGGGAATAGGCAAATGCAAAGAGACAGGCCTCAAAATAGGTTACCCGACCAGAGGGGGAAGCCCACCCAGTCTTGTCAGGAGCATAGCGTTCAGGTGACCTTGGACACCGATCCACGGACCCATTCCATCACTCTGCTTACCGAGCGACCAGATGTCTGCCGGGGAATGCGTCCCCACCAGAACTGTCTGAGGGGCAACCCCCCAAAACTCCGACCACCGAGAACGAGAGAGAGCATCCACCATAACATTGTGAACTCCCGGTATACGCTCTGCTCTACAATACACCTTGAGACACAAACGTCGAAGTACCGACCACCTAAACAAGCGAACCACCGAAGGGGAAGAGGCCGGCAGCCGATCAATGGCCTTCACAACCCCCAAATTGTCGCAGTAAAAACACTCTTCAATCCTGAAAAACGAAAACCCCCAGACCTCCACCACCAAAATGGGGAAAAAGCTCCAAAAAGGCCAGGTTCTATGTGAGCCCAGAGACACACCCACTATGAGGCCACACGGCAGCACACCAACTAGAGCCCAGAATGCCCCCAAACCCCACCAAGCCAGCCGTGTCCGGAAAGAGGTGGAGGTCGGCGTTAGAAACCTCCGGCCTTGCAACCCGTAGGACCAGCCATTAGATGCAGTCAAGAAGGAGTCCCAAACTGCCAAAAATCCTCCCACAGCGGCCGAGTAAGCCGAATGGAATGGCGAGCCCGGAGACCCCGGCCATCGCTGGTTAAAGAACTGCCCCACGGGCAGGATCACACAGGCAAAATTCTGCTTACCCAGGAGAGATTGCAGGCAGTGCAGCTGAACGTAGCGCCGCCCCCCTGGCCAAGGTCACCTCGCGCCAGAAGCCTTGAATCCTATCCCGAGGCAAGCGGCATTCCCCAGCCAAAGAGTCCATCTCCATGCCCAGAACATGGAGACAGGTGACCAGGCCCACCGTCTTGCAGTGTGCCAACGGGACCCCAAACCGACGGAACACTTCAACCAAAAACCCACGCAGTATTGCATAGTTTGGCGAATAGTCAGAACCCACGCGAAGGAAATCAACAAAGCAGTGCAGCAAGGAGCCAATCCCTGCCACCTACCTCACCACTCAGTCCCAGAACGTGCCGAAGCATTCAAAGTAAAATCAGGACATGGAACACCCATCGGGAGGCACACATCCACGCCATACCTGTCCTCAAACACCCAGAAGATGGTGACAGTCCGGGTGCACCGGCAGCAAACGGAAAGCCAAATTCCACCTCAGCCATGGCCAACAAGGCCGGGCCCGCAGCCCCCACCATGTCAGCCGCCGCATCAAAGGATGCAGAAGACATCAAGCAGAGTACCAAAAGGATGTAACCAGTCCGGTAGTGGAGGGTTCTTAAAGGGACCACCCACGCGACCCAAAGATACGTTGTTGCCCAGATTCCCCAGCCATCTGAGGGGACTTGCAAAACTGAGCAAAGGCCCCCAACCCACCGGGAAGCAGGGATGGGGGGCAACCACAAACCATGCGCAAACCCGCCTAACAGGATTCCAGCAGCCCGTCGATTCCAATAGCGGGTGACCCAAGGGCGCCAATTTCCCAGAGGAGCAGCCGAGGTGAGTAGCCAGCAGGCACAGGGGATCAAAGGGAGACACAGAGGGACCAGGCAGAGAGGAGAGGGAGAGAGGGGGAGACGGAGAGGGAGAGGGGGGGAGAGGGAAAAGGAGAGGGGGGGGGAAGGAGAGGGAGGGGAGGAAACTGGGGAGCAGGGAAGCCAGGGAGCAGAACCGTCTCTGAAAGGGTTGGGGGGGAGGAGACAGAGGAGAAACCACAAGGAGGGAAGGGAGGAGGGGAAATGAGAGCAGAACCTGGCGGGAAGAGGGGGGGGGACCCCCCTGGCCGAACCCCATCCCCAGAGGACATAGCAGAGCCCGGGGAGGACCACCCCCTCCACCCCCAGCAGCAGCACCAGTGTGCCCCGCGCAGCCCCGCAGCGGGCCCACTCACCACCACCGCCGGGTACAGGTCCGCCATTGCGCCAACCCCGTGGCGCCCGAGAGGGATGCCCAGCTGCTCCATGCCGGCCGGTTTGTGCCGACCGTCTTCTGGCACCCCCGGCCCGCTGCACTAGGCCGGGGGTGCACCTGGAAGGTATCCAAGCGAGCCTGGTGGCGCCTCAGCCCTGGCTCCCATAAAGGACCCGGGGCGCCACTTCAGGACTTAAAGGAGCAGGCAGGCGTGAGTGCCGGCCCATGCTCCTGCGGCCCAAAGGTAATGTGGCCACTAGGGAGGCCCCAGCAGAGGCCTGGCTGCGGGGGGAACCGCACTGGCGGCCAAACCAGTGTGAAGGGGAGAAATTGCCCATGCAGGTGCCAGACATCCAGGGCAGCTGAGGCTCCAAGGCACAGGATGGCAGAAAAATGTGCATGCCAAGGACAAACAGGAGCACAGAGGCAGGGGAGGTGTTTGCTGGCCAGAATCCCAAAAGGCACTGAGGTAAGATGATCCCTGCCCCACTACAAACCCATAACCACTCCCCTAAACACAGCCACGCCCATATACACATATAGCCACGCCCCTAAACACATACAGCCACTCCCCTAAACACAGCCACGCCCCGATACACATACAGCCACGCCGAAATACACATACAGCCACTCCCCTAAACACATACAGCCACTCCCCTAAACACATAGCAACTCCCCTAAACACATATAGCCACGCCCCTAAACACATACAGCCAATCACAAGCACCATCCCCACACTCGTTACATGTGCCCTTGTCCGTTTAGCTGTGCTGACTCCCCAGGGCCTAAATCAAATCAAACCTTAAAAGAATCCTTAAAAGAACAAATATTGCAAATTACTCGAAACATTCATCAACTTGCCATTGTTGTGGATCAGAAATGTTGATCTTTGTTATATTCAGAGGAAGCCCAAATTGTTGTTACAAGTGCACTTGGAGAAGCGAGAATTAGACACCAGACACCTGTTGGTTTTCAAAATAAGCCTCTGACGTTTTATTCATCAGCTGGGTTTTATACATTAAAAAGTAAGTGCTTACGTGCAAATACTCTTAGAACAGTAATAGGAAGGGAGTACAGGTAAGACATAGGGATGAGCGTCATGTACACATAACAAATACGTTTCAAGGTAAGAGAGAACAAAATGATTAGAGCAGAGACTTCTTAGGTGGGGGCTCGCTGCTCCCGGAACTTAGACATATATGGTCTTAAGTGTTGATTAAGCATCAAGCATTTCCTGAGTCCAAGTTAGCCAATTTTAATATAGGATATCATTATATGACACTTATAAGCTTGAGCCTTGGAATCAAGATAAATTCCATCACACCATGTACAAAATGGGATATCGCCTTAAAAGATTGAAGGCAACTCAATATGAGCAACGCAACAAAGCTAGCAGACTCTTAGCAAATAGATTAAAATCGCGTCATAACACACAAAAGATAAAACCTCCAAACCGAGAGACATTAGCAATGAATTTGCTAAATATTTCTCAGACCTGTACACCTTGAAAAATAACGGAGAAACACCCCAAACCATTGAGGAGGACATCAATTCCTATCTGCAAGATATACACTTACCACGCCTGATGACAGAACAACAGACACATCTCACAAGCCCCATAAAAATCGCTTAGGTCGCAAGCCCCGTTAACTCATTACCAACAGGCAAATCACCTGGCCCAGATGGCTTAGATAATTTATATTACAAAGAATTCCAGACAGTCCTGGCACCACACTTAGTTTAAGCTTTCACAGAAGCTACCAATACCGAAAGGCTGCACAGAGACATGCTTCTGTCGCATATAGTCACGTTGCCGAAACCAGGCAAATCTCCCACAAAATGTCAGGCCAATATTTGCTATTAAATAGAGATGCCAAATTATTCGCGAAAATGTACGCAACCCGATTAGGTAAGATTCTACCATACATCATACACACGGACCAGGTTGGCTTTGTGACAGGGCGACAGGGATCCGACAACACCTGCAAAGTACTGGACATTATATACAGCTTACAAAAAGAGAAAACGAGCGGCCTAGTCATCTCGTCAGATGCAGAAAAGGCTTTTGACCGCCTTGACTGGGGCTTCTTGGAGGCGGTATTGACAAAGTTTGACATCACGAGCTGATTCCAGGCGGCAGTTAGAGCACTATACAGTCACCCTACAACACAATGCTGAACTCTGGATTTTTGCTGGACCCGTTCATTTTAACAAATGGGAAGAGGCAGGGGTGCCCTCTTTCACCCCTCCTCTACGTTATGGCATTAGAACCGCTTGCGCAATGCATCACACTCAATACTTCAATCCATGGTGTGACAATAGGCGAGAAAGAGTACAAAGCAAACCTCTTTGCTGATAAGGTGCTGCTCACCCTCATCCACATCTCCTTCCCTAATCTTTAGAAATAAATCACCAAATATGGAAAACACTCCTATTGTAAATTAAATGTAACAAAGACGCAGGCCATGGGATTGTAGATGCCAAAAAGTACAGCAGAAACCCTGCAGACTAATTTCCCTTCAGATTGGAGAGCAGACTATATTACATTTCTAAATCTGAAGATCCCCGGGAATCCAGCGAATTTGTTCACTCTTAATTACGCAGTGCTGCTAAGAGATATCTCTGACACATTAAATACCTAGGAAAACATGGTTGGGGAGGATGGAAGCTTTAAAGATGCATTTGCTCCCCAAATTCCAGTACCTTTTGAGAACATTACAAATCTATCTTCGAAAATCATATTTTGAAAAACTTCAGAAAACACTCACACGCTTTATATGGAGCAATCACAAAATTCGAGAAGCCACAAATATTTTACACAAACCCCTACAAGAAGGAGGTCTAAACTTACCCAATGTGAAATGATATCATCAAGTCGTGAATGCTACTGGGCACCAGACACCCCGCTTTACAGCATACATGTTACCAATCCATCATAAGATTATAGGACATGGGTCCAGGGAGGGTGCATTACAGTCAGACAACTTTCTGAAGGCCAAAAGATACTAACCTTCCCCACCCTTCAAGTCAAATTTAAACTACCGTCAAGAGCGATGTTTACATATCTCCAACTAAAATCTTTATTAAAACGGGTCGGAAACACAAGCGAGGGGAGAGATTGTGACAAATAAATATAAAAATAAAAGGGAAATGGGATTCAGCTCTGTCCAATTTGCACAACTGTCTAATGAGATTTCAACATGCATGCTGTCCAATTTGTTAATGTACTGCGTTTCAATTGCTTGTAACGTTCTCCTGATACGTGTATTATCCTATGAAGATGTAAATGCTCCTGCTTGACCCTCTTCCTTTTTGTACCCCAGCGTGCAGGCACCTTACCTTTGCCTCAATAAAAATGGTCAAACTGAAGAAAAAAATAGACATACAAACAGAGATGATACAGAGAAAGAGAGGAAGATGTAAGTGGACACTAGATCAATAGGTACAGAGAGATACAGACCAGCAGACAGACACTAAAACAATAGTAAACTGACACAGACAGACATTATAGCGATAGTTAGCGGACACAGACAGACATTATAGCGATAGTTAGTGCTCATGCTCATGCCATTGTACAGAACACTGGTGAGACCTCACTTGGAGTATTGTACACAGTACTGGAGACCGTATCTTCAGAAGGATATTGATACCTTAGAGAGGGTTCAGAGAAGGGCTACTAAACTGGTTCATGGATTGCGGGATAAAAACTTACCAGGAAAGGTTAAAGGATCTTAACATGTATAGCTTGGAGGAAAGACGAGACAGGGGGGATATGATAGAAACATTTAAATATATAAAGGGAATCAACACAGTAAGGAGGAGACTATATTTAAAAGAAGAAAAACTACCACAACAAGAGGACATAGTCTTAATTTAGAGGGACAAAGGTTTAAAAATAATATCAGGAAGTATTACTTTACTGAGAGGGTAGTGGATGCATGGAATAGCCTTCCAGCTGAAGTGGTAGAGGGTAACACAGTAAAGGAGTTTAAGCTTGCGTGGGATAGGCATAAGGCTATCCTAACTATAAGATAAGACCAGGGACTAATGAAAGTATTTAGAAAATTGGGCAGACTAGATGGGCCGAATGGTTCTTATCTGCCGTCACATTCTATGTTTCTATGTTTAACTGACACAGACAGACATTATAGCGATAGTTAGCTGATGCAGACAGACCGATATTAAAACAATAGGTCTATGATACAAACAGACACTACATCAATAGGTATAGGATATAAACATACAAATTGATTCTAAACAAGATCGTAGTTGATATAGACAGTCACTAGAGCAATATGTACATGCCAGAGACAGACAACAGAGACATCAGTAGAGGATACACAGACGCATTACAAGTGTCTAAACTTAACCTTGTGTCATGATTACTGATCAGCAGATACACTGTGCAGCAGTTCCGGGTTCACCGATCAGGCCCCACCTATGCTTCCCTGTAAACTCAAGGGATCAATCAATATGTTTCATTTTGTTACCAAGTGCCATCTGAGCTCCCTGTCTTACCAAATACAATAACAGACTGATAGTACACAAGTCACATACACAAACAGTCATAGTATGAGCAGAATGCATACACAGACACAGAGACAATAATATGCATATACAGTCACAGAGACAATAATATGCATTTACAGTCACAGAGACAATATTATGCATACACAGTCACAGAGAAAATAATATGCATACACAAACACTGAGACAATAATATGCATACACAAACACTGAGACAATAATATGCATACACAGACACAGAGACAATAATATGCATATACAGTCACAGAGACAATAATATGCATACACAGTCACAGAGACAATAATATGCATAAAGAGGCAGAGAGACAATAATATGCATACACAGACACAGGGACAATAATATGCATACACAGTCACAGAGACAATAATATGCATATACAGTCACAGAGACAATAATATGCATACACAGTCACAGAGACAATAATGTGCATACAGAGGCAGAGAGACAATAATATGCATACACAGACACAGAGACAATAATATGCATATACAGTCACAGAGACAATAATATGCATACACAGTCACAGAGACAATAATATGCATACAGAGGCAGAGAGACAATAATATGCATACACAGACACAGGGACAATAATATGCATACACAGTCACAGAGACAATAATATGCATACAGAGGCAGAGAGACAATAATATGCATACACAGAGACAATAATATGCATATACAGTCACGGAGACAATAATATGCATACACAAACACAGAGACAATAATATGCATACACAAACACAGAGACAATAATATGCATATACAGTCACAGAGACAATAATATGCATTTACAGTCACAGAGACAATATTATGCATACACAGTCACAGAGAAAATAATATGCATACACAAACACTGAGACAATAATATGCATACACAAACACTGAGACAATAATATGCATACACAGACACAGAGACAATAATATGCATATACAGTCACAGAGACAATAATATGCATACACAGTCACAGAGACAATAATATGCATAAAGAGGCAGAGAGACAATAATATGCATACACAGACACAGGGACAATAATATGCATACACAGTCACAGAGACAATAATATGCATATACAGTCACAGAGACAATAATATGCATACACAGTCACAGAGACAATAATATGCATACAGAGGCAGAGAGACAATAATATGCATACACAGACACAGAGACAATAATATGCATATACAGTCACAGAGACAATAATATGCATACACAGTCACAGAGACAATAATATGCATACAGAGGCAGAGAGACAATAATATGCATACACAGACACAGGGACAATAATATGCATACACAGTCACAGAGACAATAATATGCATACAGAGGCAGAGAGACAATAATATGCATACACAGAGACAATAATATGCATATACAGTCACGGAGACAATAATATGCATACACAAACACAGAGACAATAATATGCATACACAAACACAGAGACAATAATATGCATACACAGACACAGAGACAATAATATGCATATACAGTCACGGAGACAATAATATGCATATACAGTCACAGAAACAATAATATGCATACAGAGGCACAGAGACAGTAATATGCATATACAGTCACAGAGACAATAATATGCATACACAGTCACAGAGACAATAATATGCATACACAGACACAGGGACAATAATATGCATATACAGTCACAGAGACAATAATATGCATACAGAGGCACAGAGACAATAATATGCATACACAGTCACAGAGACAATAATATGCATACAGAGGCACAGAGACAATAATATGCATACACAAACAGCCACGGTCAGTATTTTAAGTATATCTGCCAATCAGATGTGAATTATGTTATCCACTTTGATGTTCTTTTTCATGTTGAGGATCGGAGTCTTCCCTTTTCCCACAGAAACATAGAAACACGCCTGAACGCAAATCAAGCATCGCTTTTACCTTGGGGTAAATGGTAACGAAGTAATAGACATTTCAATCAGTTTGGGATTTTAAAAGCCCAGTTAACATTTATTTACTATGAATGCCAGAGCTATGTGCCAAATTGTGCAACAATGCAAATATCCATTGGCAGTCAAACTGTGTAAAGCACTCATTATTTATCCATCTTTAGAACCTATTAAAGTTCAAAAGATGGATAATTAACAAATGGTGTGTCTATCTGTGTTCTACATTCCCATTTACAAAAATAATCCTGAATATGGATATATGTAGTATAGCTTAAAGGGTCATTCTAAGCACCATCACAAATTTGCATAATTGCTAAAGTGATAAAGAAGTTGCATAAAGCACCCTGGGCCTACTTTCAGCTCCGAGGAGCCTAGATTTGTAAAAACCACGGCAGATCCAAACCAGCTTCTCTGTTAATCAGAAATCCGGGAACTCTTTGTTCTTTTGTTGCCTGATCAATTGTTGCCCAGTTCTGCATGCCACACACAATTTGAACTGAACCCAACCAAGTCATGGGCTGCACATGTGCAGACAGCAGCGGATCGAGGAGGGGGGCTGGGGGCAATTGTCCCCTCTACCCCCGAGATAGTGCTGAGGCTCTCCCATGATGGCCCCAGCTCTACAAACGCTGGCCCTGCAGTGTGTCTTCACGGACCAGAGATATTTTGCTGGCAGCCAGTAGGGGAGGTAGAGAGGAGATCTGGGAGCTCTTACCAGGTTCTCCTCTCGCGAGCTCGGAGCATTGTCATAGTTACCATGGCAATGCTCCGTTCTCGCAAAAGTGAACACAAGCTGTAAGCTAGAGTTCACTCCCCACCAGACCACCAGGGATTCTCCACTAGGACCACCAAGGATTGTCTTGTAATGACCCCCTCCCAGTCAAGAGGTAAGAAGAAAAAGGTGATACAAAGATGATTCTTTTATTTAAAAAAAATAAAATTATAATTTTATTATAAAATGTTAAATAATAATAAAAAATATGTAAATACATATATATTCAAGTCACACACTGCACAACACACACACACACTGCACTGGGTGACGTTAGTCGTCCATTAATCCCTTAAAAATTAGTCCAACACAAATCACGGAGTACAAAAGTTGAAAGGAAAGTCAAAACCCTCTATTCATGCCTGTAATTGTTGTTAATACAATTTGAATTTTTAATTTGTTGTCTGGATTTCATGGTACAGAATACTCATCACAAGTAAGTTCTTAATTTGTTTAATCCTTCCCAAAAATATTTTAAGAAATAAGATGAATTTCAAAAGCAAATGTCTACTGTGTGGCCCACAATAATGCCTTATTTCTTCCTATTAAAACAAAAAACAGGAGACAGTTGGAATCTGAGCTTTATAAACAGATGGATTTTTTAAACGATTGAAGACTAGGGGAGAGTCTGATGGCGGTAGGCTGTTCCAAAGGAAGTGAGCCGCCGGCGAGAAGTCCTGCAGGTGCTAGTCGCTAGTTAGCAGTGAGGGTGCGAGCAGCGGACAGGAGAAGGTCATCGGCAGAGCAGAGAGACTGAGAGGGGGCATACCTAAAGGGGCTAGAGTTTTAAAGGTAAGGGTTAGTATTACAGTTTAGTAAATAATAAAAAGCAGTAGGAAAGGACAAGTCTAGAATCCCATGAAACAATGTAGTATTACTGGTTATTACCTTAAAAAAAAAAAGTCCAGTTTCTTATACGATGACAATCTGATATATGTTTCTCATTATGGCTATTATACATATGTATCACCTCTCATTCTCTATATATCTGTTATCTTATCGAGACCTATGACTGTGTTACTGCACGTGAAAAATAAATAATTATTAAATGTCAGGGGAAATCATTCTACCATCTGGGCAATACAACTCCTACTATACTCAGCCCATCAAAAGGGGAATTGGATTCCTCAGAAACTAGAATATGTGAATTCACTATGACTGACTTAGCACGAGAATAAACTTAGATTTATCCCTAACCTCCGAATCGTAGAAAACAGAAAGCCAAACTGCCAGATTTAGGCTATAATACCATCGCTGTGTCTGTGACTATGAATGAGTTGGAGAATTGTTCACCTACTTTTGCCTGAATTTTGCCATTTGGATTTTCATTTGCTACAATGAGTAGTAAGTACTCTGATGTCACTCAGAGTATTACAAAGAACTGTACAGGTTCCTACAATGGAGATCCCTGAAGGTTGCAAATAAATTATTTAAAAATCCAAAGTCACCTAGGCTACTTCATCTCAACGACGTGGTCTTGGTGCAGTGGGCCTTCAGTTTTAACTCTGTAATGTAGAATATTGCAGTTTTTTTAGAAACTTCAAGGTTTACATCGTAGGGTTAAATCTAACGCTAGTCATGGTCTTCTTGACATCCACTAGAGACTCTCTACGTCACTGACCCAGTGCTCATCTAAAGGGAGCGTTAGATTGGAGCAACAATGGAGGATGCATTGCCTTCTCCATGATGTCGCTGGAGATAAAGAGGTACGCAGTGCCAAGGGAGCCTCAGCGCAAAAAAAAAAAAGGTAAATAAATACTTTATTTTATTCATTTTAATGACAACCTTAGGAGAACACAAAGTGTTAGGAATACAGGCTTGCGTTTATTACTAATTATTTAGCGTTTTTTTAATTAGGCTCTATGTGCCCATCAGTGAGAGTTGATTACTAAACTGGAAATTGTGAAGGAATTAAATTTTTACCCCAAAAAAGCTAAATTAAACAAATGTCCCACTCAGCTATTATTTCTACGCAAAATATGTCCATTATCTTGTTGCTTATTCTCCACCATTCCCAGTTTAGTGAATAAAGTCAATTTTTGCAATGCCTGCATAATAATGAATTTTATCACAAGGGACCCCATTCTATGCATGAGTGTTCTGAGATGTTAATAAGTCTTTTGATCTTTATTCTGCCAAAGACGTTTATTTCGATAAGCTCAGAAGATGTTTAGAAAACATACTGCGTTGGCACCTTATTTCTCCTCTCATAGTGATTTATAGATGGAGTAATGAACTCAGAGATTCAATGGACTCCCCAGCAAGATATCTTTCATCTTTAATGCCAGTCTTTTTAGTACATTTCAGCATCAGTTATTGTCACACGACCCATAAGCCCCCGTCCGTAACACGGCTCCTCCGCTGTCAGATGAACTGGCTTTAAGCAAGACATCAATCTTTATTTGCTGCAGTAAAACCCAAAGCCGATTGTTAAAAAAAAAAAAAAAAAGAACTCTGGGATGATTTGGATAAAGACGTACCTTTCCACGTTGTGCTTTGAACAAGGCTAAAAGAGTCAAAGTTCTGACAGACAGGAGGGGCTTAGATGCAGCGCCTGAGGCAATCCTGTGTGAGCCGAGGTCAGGAGGAGTTCTCAGAGTCTCTACATTAACTGGAGGATGCGTTTCGCTATACTCACTATAGTAGGAATGCTGTCGCATAGACAAGGAAACTACACGTTTTAGGACAAAAACCTGACGTTTTTCCAGCTCAAATATTTGGTCACAAAATTTCCATTTCTCTGCAGAAGAGTTTTTTATTATTATTATTAATTTCCCCCTGTAGCAAGAATTTTAATATTCTCATTAAAGCAGAAGTACAGATCAGGCCATCATAAAAATTGGAATTGCCTAACAAACGCCTTTAAACACATGATTTTCACTTTATAGGGGGGACTTTCCCCTGGTATCCACAGAAGCAGAGACACCGGAGAAAAGAACCAAGATTGTGCAACAGAACCCCAAATTGGGATTGTCCTTATAAATTGAGGACTGTTGCCAAGTATTCTTAAATCACAATATAAAGTCTTTATTAAGGGCTAATGAGGCAGATTTTTCAGGTTCAGACAGGATGTCGAATGTCCTTTAAAAAATGGTTTTGGTGCCAGCGTCCCTTAAAGGAACATTCCAAACACCATAACCACTGGTTATAGTGCCAGAGGAACACCCACCCACACTTCTAATTTTAAGTGGGCAAACCTTGACTTCACCCTGAAGTTTGCCTGCGCCACTCCCCACGTGCACTACAGCCGCAGAGTGTCAGAGCTCCTGCTGGGGTAATATTGACTGAAAGTATCAGCTTATCTCCCTCGGCCAATGAGCTAAGCCATGCACAGCCAGACATTGTTCACACCAAGAACTGGTTGTAAGTTGTAGTGGAGGCAGGGAGCAGTAGCCAACAAACCCCACATAACAAGTCAAACCTTTCTAAAACGATTTGTCTACCTCCATTAAAAGGAAAGGCAATAGGGCCTTCACGGCACCATAACCACAATAGCGTGCTGTAGTGGTTATGGTTCTTGGAGTGTCCCTTTAAGGTATTTAGGAATACGCTGTGCTGGGTTTAATCCAGACATATTGCGCGGATAAAGATTTGTTCCCAGCATTCTACTCAAACAGAAAAAAATAACTGATTTTTGCATTGTGTGAAACTTGCCTAATAATAAGAGCACAGAGGGGTTTTAATATCCAATGAAGGCTTGATAGCCCGGCAGTGGGACTGAGGAAGCAAGGTAATGAAGACATGAGAGAATAAAGGATGAGCTGCAGTAAGATGCAGGATCTAGAGGTGATCGCGCAATACCGAGAGGCAGAGAGGCTGTTTTAAATGCTAATCTGCTAATCTATTGCTGTAATTACAGGCACATCCCCTGGCTCTTTCCTCTCAGCTCTTGGAAAATAATAAAAATGAAATGTTCTGGCGAATGCCGGCACAGGGAACCCTGAAACATACACAAAGGGTTTATCTCTGATTTACCGGAAAGCAGATTTGAGGTCAATATAACTGAGCTGAAAAAAGTAAGGTCCCTTGTCAACAATTCCCAGATTAACGAATAAATAAACTCTAAAATGGAGATCTACATTATAATTAAAACAAAAACAAACAGTGTGTCTTCTATCCCTGTATCATCAAAAACGTAGCAATTAAATTACTGGAAGTGGGTGATGCAGGTGCGTCAGGGGGACAACGACGATAGCCCCAAATGTGGCGCCCTTTAGCCAGGAGTCTTTTTGTCCTGACATGCCCCCTGTCCCTAGCGCAGTGATAGAGATACAGAGAATCAAATACTCTATAACATTCTCTGTATATCACTATTACTGTGCTGCATCCAGACCCGGGTGAAACAGACTGAGGCATGGACACCTGGACATCGAAAAGCAGATTTGCTTCCTCTCTTCCCCCCACCCATTGCATGATGACGGCCTCCAAGGGAGCAAGTACCCATTTTGTGGCATGGCAGGTGCAGGCATGGGGAGGAATAAAACCGTCCTAACAGTAATATAGTGGTTTTATTGACCCTTACAGGCCGCCACATAATTACCCTTCACATCGAGTTTTTTTTTAACTATTTGCCTCCTGGCTGTTTGCGCTGTCAGCGAACACATAGTACTTAAAATGATTATTCAGTTACATGAAAGCTAGTGAATGATAATTTTCAAATGTGCGTACTGCTGGAAGCATTCAGTCCCGAATTTTATTAAAACCCGTGCTTGGTGAATCTTCAAAATCATATGTTTTGCACAGGAGTTGAAAGCGGAAGTACAGATTTTAACTTGGACATCGAATGCATGCTGGTAATTGCTGCATACCCGCTCAGGCCGACTGAATTCCAACCACATTTGCCTTTAGTAAATATGACTATTGCCAGTGCGGTCGGAATTCGTCATTTTTACCAGACGGGACAAAATCAGTGTTTATTGAATACCTCCAGCAGTGATCCTAATTCTCAAACTCCTGTACAATGTGTGCCCTGGCTGGGATACGACCGAACTGGATTGTGATGTCAGTTGATAAATCTTTAATATATAATTAAAAAGAAATCTGTGCATCACAGGAAAAAAAAAGTTTTTTTTTTAATGTTTTATTTAATGTCAATTACTGGAGAAGTGACATTTCCTCTTTAATATAATTAAGACAATAATAGTCCAGATATAGGTTGGTTAGAAGTAGATTTTCCGGTTCTAGTTCAGCAGCGGAGAGGCTAGTGATTAAACGACTGTCGGCTCGGATTGATATGGGGCACCAGACTGATTGTAAGAAGCAGCTAGTAGTATACTAGTGGGTATTGTCCTATTAAAATGCCAAGAACTCAGTAAATCTCATTGGAATTGCCCATCACCTCACATATTTTACATAAATCATGGCCACAACGTTTGGCACCTAATGGAGAACAGATGGCTTAATTTTTCTGGGTTGGAAGAAAGTGTAATTTTAACCCCTGAGTCTCCAATCATGCCTCCTTTTTTATATTTTTTAAATCCGGACGCATCATTTTTTCACTGAATCTACTAAAATATTTCCATTTGATGACTACCAAATGCAGAACACCACAGAAAAAAAAAAATACAGGGCTGGTGGACAAAACCCCCAAATTAGGGCTCTCCCACCCAGGGCCGGTGCAAGGATTTTTGCCGCCCTAGGCAAAAGTAAAGTTTGCCCCCCCCCCCTTCCCCACGTGACATCACAATGCTCCACCCATATGATCTGCCATGTTAACTAACGCCAGTGCTGCAGTGCCGCCGTGTTTACATTAAAAGGCCTGCAGGGACCGGCTATAGACACCAGAACCGCTACATTAAGCTGCAGTGGTTCTGGGGACTATAGTGTTTCTTTAATGTGAGGTAAATTAGAGATTAGTGCCACGAATAACATACTATATTACCTACTTACAACCAGATGAGGATGATGATGGGCTCTAGCTGCAGTCTGGCTCCACTGGTCTGGTGTAGAACATGCTCTCTGGAGGCTGTTTGTAACTGTGGTCACAAAAATCAATGTTCTGGGAGAAATGGAAGCAGCTCCATTTTTTGGGGTCCTTTACACAGCTCAAGGTTTGGGTCCCAGGGTCCACCTTCATGTTCCACCAATGAGTTTGTTCACAGGAGGTGGAGTGTGTAGGGGATGTCCTGATATTTGTGTAAGGAATGCATTGTGTGAATCTGTGTTTGTATGTGTAAGGGCTGCAAGGTGTGTTTCTGTGTATGTACGGGATGCAGTGTGTGCGTCTGTAAGGGGTGCATTGAGTGTGTGTAAGGAATGCATTGTGTGTTTCTGTGTGTGTAAGGGATGCATTGTGTGTAAGGGTTGCAATGCTTGTGTGTGCGTGTGTGTGTGTCTGTGTGTGTAATGCATTGTGTGTTTTTCTGTGTGCAATGGGTGCATTGTCTTTGTGTGTAAGGGGTGCATTGTGTGTGTGTGTGATGGATGTCAATCTCTTCTCCCCCCTCTCCCTCCCTTGTCCCTCTCTTCTCCCCCCTCCATTGTCACTCTCTTCTCCCCCGTTGTCACTCTCTTCTCCCCTCCCCACTCTCATTCCACCTCCCTCCCCCGTCAATTCCCCTCCCTGTCAATTTCTTCCCCCCCCCTGTCAATTTATTTCCCCTCCCTTTCAATTTATTCCCCCCCTCC